TGCCTACTTTAGGGAGTTAGCAATGAACATCTGTAATGTATCGTCTCGTTATTTTCCAGTGTTTATAGTCATATTATTCTTACGCATCTTTTGTGTAATAATATGAAAAAATAAAACTAATTCTTCTATGAACAAAAATAGAGATTAACAAAACCATTAAGTTGTGCAAAAATAAATCCTCTTAAAAAAAGATAAACTTACTTAAAACAATACTAAGAAATCGCACTACAAATTAAAAAAGTAAACCCAAATCTAATTGAAAAAAAATAATAAACAAAATAAGTGCGACACTCAATATAACAGGTAACATTATAATAGCAATAGATACCTTCTTGGCTGTTTGAAGTCGGTGCCAGGGTGCCCGATGCACAATAAGTAATGCTGAGGATCTATATCAGCTCAATAAAGAATTAAGAAAGCATCGCAGATTTTATCAATAATAAATTTTAGAAATGATATTTAAAACCACGGTGATCCATGTTTAAAACACTACGTACTGTTGAGCTATCTATCTAATATTCCGACACGAGTAGAAAACTGCTGTACATGGTCACCTTGAAGGAGGTTATGTTATTATGTTATGTTGACGATCAGATAAGAGGTTTAACTTCCCGCCAAACTGCAGTAGTTATAGGGGGTGTTACTCTTAAATTAATAGAATAGAACACAACACGAGGATGTAGCAAAACCTATTTTTTTCAGTTTATAATAGCAAAATGTGTGTGAATTATAGACACACATTAAATATAATTTGATGTACTGATCAGTAACAACTTTAAGTAACTAACTGTAACTATAGTTTACTATCGACAAAAACCAAATAATGCATCACCATCACATCATTATGTTAATAACTATAAATAAGGTAATTTCTTGTTGAAAAAGAAACAAAAAACCCGAATTGAAAATGTATACTATTTACAAACCGTCGATTTTAATTTTTATAATTTTCATATACCCAGCGACACTTTCACAATTAAAACGAATCTAACGATACCTCAAACGCCAAAATCCATAAGCCAAGAGCCGTTTAGGCTACAGAGCATGCCAAATATTACACACACATACACTTGAAAAATATAACTCCTTCTTCTAGTGCAGTCGATTAAAAACTTTTAGTGCCACACACACTTGTTAGGTCGTCAGAGCGCAAGTGTTATTTCGCTCTCTTTAAACTTGGATTGGAGAAAGATAAAACGTTCAAAATTATTAAGATGTTATAAATATTACATAACTATGTTTCAATCTATTTGTATGGGTACATTGTCCTAAAAGTAATTTAAGCGAAGTGAATAGAATCTGCGATGATAGGGTTAGTCCCCACAATCAACTTTGTGGCCATCGGTTATAACAGTAAAGTAAATAAATACTGAGAAGTATGGCGATATCATTAGACGTCCTCCGTGGTTTGGTTTGGACACATGAATTAAAGTCCTTTGCGACACTTCTTCTTTCGTTACCGATGTACTTCGGGCCTAAATAAATTTGATAGACACTCAATTGAGATCGATAAACAATTACGTTTGAAAGTTTAAGCTCATTGAGGGAGAATAGCTTCTAAAAATAGGCTAAGATTCAAGTACAGATCAACAGAACTTTCTTTGACTTTAACAACAGAACACGACGAAAGGTCTTAGGTACTGCTAAGATTGTTAAATTTTGCACCTTCTTGGTTTCACGTTCAAAATAATGCGAGCTGCAAAGGAGTACGAAGCATTTTTTGATAATGCTAATTCTACTAGAAGATCTTTAAAAGGTTATCGGTCATAGCATATTATGCACATTCAGCGAACTTCTTCTAGTAAAGATGACAGAAAACAACTTTTGAGAACTGTCAACAGGCTCAGGCTTTCCAATTGCCCTCTAAAATTTCAACATAATTACTCCACATATATAAATAAAAAAATGGTTTATTTTATAAAAGCGAAAACGGTGAAAATTATGTACTTTATTATGTATTTTCTGGTTTGTACAGTGTCTTTCGTCTATGAAATAATATGTTGAAAATTAAAAAGCTGCTGCAATTTTATGAGAAAATCATACCATAAATCTGGGGTTTTGACTCCCGAACATCCAAATATGCTGTAAACATTCACATTAATGTCATTCAACCCTTTCATTATAACCAAACTTTAACTATATTTTTACATCAAAGAGTTACATATCACAGGCCTAAATATGTTTGGAATTTCCCTAATTTCCGCTTCCGCCACAATTTTCAGCCATAAGATTTGAAGTAATTTAAACATCGCATTTCTTCATGCCTATTAAATCACTTAAGGTGGACACATCGCTTGTGGTAAATTTGTTTAGCAATTCCATTTGGCACCGCGACGGGGCTGAGCGGGCAGTCCTTTAATTAAAACCGGGACGTATAATGTTGGCGCTTGACGCAAACTTAATGTGCGTCCGGCGGCACAGTAATGGCACACCCACCCTCTGATAATTGTCCTATGTCAATTCTGCTCCATAGCACCCGTAATATTACTTTTCCAAAAAGGACGTTATGAAACTATTCCGCCGCGCTCCCGACACTCATGCTAAACTGACCTACTTCGTTAACTATATTATTCAAGCCATTATTTCTTCTTAATACTTTATAATTGCAGCATTAAACTACACAGAAACAGTTTTCCCTTAGGCAGTTAATTTACAAGAGGCACAACGTTGCTTTTATGTAGCAATCGTCACGTTCGCAAAACGAGCTTTCTAAGTTAACAATGTAACGTGAAAAAATTCGCTATGCCTCCCCTATTACACAGACGGAGCAAGCTTTCATAATAAGATCCTATTGGGTACAGTTTTGAGTTAATTTAGAAATATTTTGTGTAGCGATGCAATATAGGTCGGGTATGCCATTCATAACTGAATAATTGTATATCATATAGGTATTTATGATCGAGAGGAGATTGAAACAAAAGCACGACAACACATGCCTTCTTCGAATTGGCGACATGGTTCGATCAAGAGAGATAATAATTGTCGGTTCACGTCTTTCCATGGAATCCTATTGCGCAAACGGCTTTGTCGGCGTCTCTTCAATAGGTATCTGTAGTGGCTTTTGTCTCGTGCCACATCCATTGTTCATTTTCGGCGGAATGGCCTTGATATCTCTCCATTATTTAACTAAACTGACATATAGGTAACGTTGCATGTTTCACATCATACTGTTCCTATATTATCACTTTAATATTATTTTTGATATCAAGTATAAATTAAAATTTTATCAGTTTACATACATCAATTTGAGCCCTGAGTTCTAAAACCTTGAAAATCTTGCATAACATCTTTGTATTTTTTTTATTTTTTTTAATTAGGAGCTTCTTATTAATTTGGAACTACATTATATTATTTATCAGTAATGTAACAAGATATATGTACGCGAATTGCACTAATTTTATTTTGAGGATGTAAAGTATACAATGAAAGTAACTTAGTAAAATTCACCATCAGGAACATCAGAGTAAACTGACAGTGACTCAAAATATGGTGAGTATTTTGTGCCTAAGTATACATCACGAAAGGTTAAATAACTAGGATACTTATTTGTGTACCTATCATTTATTTCATGCAAAGGGCAATGGTTGTGCCTCATGGCTGCATATAATGGTTATTGTAGCTACTATAATGATTTGTAAAGAAACAGAATATAAAGTCAATGTACACTAATGCCATAATTAACATAGAACGAAAATTTCTAAAAACTTAAACCATAATTGGAAATTTTTAAGAGATTGATATTAACAAAGTTAGTGTGCTTAATGAGGTCTATGACACTTCCTTAGTTATAAAGAAGGTTGTTTGGCGTTTCAAAACTTTTTTTTATGATCTATGACCTAAACAAAATAAAAAGTTAGTGAGAAAAATTACAAAACTTAATAAGGTACGAATACGCTATTAAGTTTTGTCTTCCTTACGTTGCGAACGCTAATAAGCTGCGGTACTCGCTTACTATTTGTTAGGTGAGCTGTATATTTATTGTGTATTAAAAATTATGTGTACTGATATTAAAATTTAAATTACCTTATTATAGTTATTACATTAGAAAACTTATATTTTAAAAGTAAGATAAACAGAGTCAAGGCCCGGCATGCTTGCGCACCGAGGGTTTCGAACCAACAGTCACAAATAGAATCGAAAGAAAAACTCAATTCTGCCGTTTTTAAAATACTCTGTCATAGATCGAATAATTAATCCTAATAAATACTGTTATGCGATAGAACAACAAATTAATAAGTTTTGGATGTTTGCCTTTACTGGTGTTGTAAGAGTCTTAGTCTAGGTCAATGGAAAGTAGCGTAGGTATATGTTTGGATTTACCTAAGAAGTATTAACATTGGTCAAAATATAAATCGTAATATCTGTATATTTTGAATGCGTTGACTTATTTTTTTTTTAAAGGTTAAAGGGATCAGATACATTTTAACTAAATTAAGCTTAAAAGCCGAATAACAGAACAAACCACGCAGGACAACAGCACTACAAAGAGAAGGAAAACTTCAAACTAAACCTACTGGTCAGCGTGGCATAGCAGACCAAAACCTCCTTTCTAAGGAGAGGTCTATGTCCAGCAGTGGACTGTTATAGGCGATTGATGCGAAATGAAGTGTTCTTCCTATAACGATTTTTTTTTCTTTTTTTAGGTACGGAAACCTAAAAATAAACTAAAATTAATTCTATACACTTATGATCGTGGTGGGAGTGGCCTGTGTTAATTAATATATACCGAGGTACTTGGTGATAACACTGCTTAATGTATTAATTATGGCTGGCACCATTTATCACTGCAAACCATATACTATTATATACCTACCGACTTGCTAAAATAACATTATCAAATAAGAAACTGTTTTGATATCGGATAAATAAGAATTACATTAGTGTTCATTTTCTGAAGTAAAAGTGTAGAAGCGAGTATATTTACGGTAATTAACACTTGAGTTTGTTATTCTAGAGTCAGTACAAATGTTTAGAAGTGGTTCGAGCATGTTTGGACTCACCGTACATCTTGCCCTCGTCGGAGAGTATAATTTTGCGTCTGCCACACGGTGGGTAGATTGCCAAAGCCTCTTGGAAGCTCTGCTCGATGTCGGGGCTCCACACTCCTTCCGCATCCGCCGCCGACATATCCTGGGAACACTCTTTTATATAAAAACAGACAAGGTTTGAAATGCATTCAATATTGGAGTAGAAGAACAGACAGTATTAAGGAAAGGGAGAGCTCATTGCTAGGGCCAAAGTATCCAGTTCTAATAAACAAACGATAAGTAAGTTCATAAAGAGAATCCATACATTGGAGGGATGCATGTCCCCTACCTAAGAAAATAAGTATAAAAATAATAACTTCATAAAACAATTTTTATATTTAAAAAACATTGCTTATTCCAACATATCGAGAAAGTAGGAGTGTCTGCATGTTTGTGAGTCCGGTCTAATCATAGACTTCTAGTGCTCGTAAAAATACTCTGTTTTTTATTTTCTGATTATTATTATTGTTGTTAATAATAAGAGCTTACATTGTTAGATATACAAAAAATATTATTACTCTCTCTTACATTTATTAATACTATAATTTTTATATAGTATTAAAAATATGATGTGTTATTACCTGGTCATTTTTTGTATTATTTCTATTCTGTTATCTGAGATTGTAAAGTTCACTGGGTAAAGTTAAGCGTTATAAAGAAAAAACAAAACAGAGTTAAATTATTTGTTAAATTATAATAATAGACCCATAACAAACGGAAACACGTATTTTGACGGCATGCATTTAAAAAGCCATATATTATAAGTAAAATATGTATAATATGCGTCAGAGCCGTTAAAACAAAATAAACATAATTTAATCATTATTAAAATAGTGTATCAATATTTATTGCATATTATGTAATGGTAATAGTAAAGGTACATTAAAATTGTACTAAGGCTGATCACCGTACCTACATATTTTGTGAAGATTTATACATACATATAAATAAATATATATGTACGAGTACATAAAGAAACATCAAAAATGTTCAATTTAGAACTAGGTCTTCTATGTGTCTTACGCAGTTACGGACAAAGCGGAGAAATGGAAGCGAGATTGCGATAAGCGTTGGTATTTGACTGAAATTAAGGAACTGTGTTTTTAAGGGAGACAAGCAAAGTTGAGCGCTCCTATATTGGATGAGAGATTTTTGAAGGCGGTCACGTCGACAACGGCAAAATTTGGTACATACAAATGAAAGATTGAGCCACTGTAATTCCTGTCGTTTATTGGCCGCTATTTAAATAGACGAGATTGATTGATGTAATGTGTATATTTCCTTCAGTGACAAAATTGACACTGCTTAACAAATGCAATAGTTTTTTTAAGAGCTATATATAAATTGATATTTCATAAAGTTCTCTATTTCCAATGTACCTTTATCTCAATCATCCTTGGTAGCTGGGTGATTTACAGAAGTCATTGTAAACACGTCCAAATAAATTAAACATTTATACTCCAAAATTTGGTTTCTCCAGTTTGGTTTATTCTGATTTAAACTCAGGATAGGACAAACAGAGTATAATGTACAAATGAAAGATTGGCTCGACTAGGAACGGAGACAAGCCTAACTGTTCTTACTAATAGCTAGGAAAGAAAATGAGACATTAACGACCCACACTCGGATAACTCGCAGTAAACAGGTGATAAAAACGATGTTTGACAAACATAGTAAGTGTTATTGCACACAGCAAGAGAAAAAGAGCAATCCAAAACTGTTTGAAAACTAACAAATTGTTGTCTGACGAAAATTTTAAGTACATTGGAGAGTTCTTAACGAGTCCAGACTTTTGTAAACCGCTATAAGATAGACATAACAAATAAGTAGAAGTAAGGTCTTCTCTGTTAAACTAACATATTGATAATCTTTTATACATATTATACATCTAGAAAAACTAGATTTTTAACTAACAAATAAGCATATTTGAAGGATGGTTTATTATTAAGCGGAAAATATTGGAATAGTTGCAACCGTTTTATGCTATAGAATTATTTTTTTCTTACCGCCCACTGTAAAGAAAGTTCTTTTTTTATTTGACGTGTTTGACATGCCTTGTTCTCTTAATAAGAATAGAAAGCTATTTATGATCCACATATCGACATCTAATTAAAGAGTGATTTAATAAACGGACACTGGATCGCCATTGGACACATTGTTCTAAGCTCAAGGACTGAACCAGGGAATCGCAACCAGGACCCCTGGATGGTAGTGCATATGTTACACACGGACGGTATCTTAATTGAGTAGTCATAAACAGATGATATACTGACAAGTTTATCATGTCCTCATAACATAACTATCAAAGAGGAATATCTGTTGTTAAGGCATATAAGTTTATCTTTATTATTGCCATGATGTATATTATATGCAGAACGTCTTATTAAAAGCTCCCTCACGGTCTGATGATTCAATCTTTATCAACACGTTAAATACGTATATTTAACAATAATGTTATACAAATCAATATACCATGTGTTTATAAAACTCACTAGTATTTATTATTATTTTCAGCTAGAAGCAGATCTAGGCTGGACAACTTCCAGCGAAATGTCGAAACAAATCTAAGACCCTTTGGCTAAGTAGTTACACTGAACAGATGTATTAACATTAACGAGTTTGCTTATAAATTGTAACACAATTTTGCTACAAGCGAAGTGTGCGTCATTGTAATTAATAGACTCGCTTCTATTCTCAAAAGCAAATAAAAATAACGCAATGCCCTCGACGTGGTCCAACAGCCGACGATACCGACGTACGAAAACATCGTGAATCACTATTCCATGAAAGAAACAACTTGAAACGTGGCTGTTTCTGGATTTGTTAACTACCGACCAGCAGTCAATATTTACTTACAATTTCTCACAACCAAGAATAACTAAATATTGATCTATTTTTGTTACACGCTAACATTTATTTTGTTATCAATCAATTGCGGATATTTTAAAGTGGTGAGTCTTAATTCCTCTAAATGTGTTGCGAATTAAACTTTATCTATTTTTTTTGTTGAGTAATGTTTATTTTTTTTAGATCTTGATGTATCTACGGGTAATCGAAAACAGTCTAGCATAATTTAAAGTATCCTTACAAGAAAAATCCTGAATTAACTAGGTTGTGTGAGGGGGGCAATTTTCAGCACTTACTGTGCTAAAAGCAAAAAGTGACAATTAAATTTAAAAAAAAAAAGTATTATTAACGTAATCATCTGTTCTAGTGCTCCTATTGGGATTATAACAAACATCTTTACAGATATAAAATAATGGTTTGTGAAGTCAATTGAAGATAAACTTTAAGAAAGTATAATCCGTATTCAAAAGAGTGTATTAAATAATAATAATTTGATAATAAATAAAAATTAACTAAAACTAGCTGTACAGCTGCATCAAACAAAGACTGAGACGTGATTGATTGAACTTCTTTTGAGATTGATGATGAACTGTTTTCTTGATCTAATCGCAACATTCTATTTCAATGTTATCATTACTTACGTACATTTTTTTAAGATCTCTCACACTAGTCCACCCAACGTAAATAAATTTCTGTCCGTCATTTTACAAACACCACTACGATTACAAACTACATAAGACCAAAACATTTTTTTTAGATGATCTATTTTTTGGCATAGGAGGGTACACGAGCAGACGGGTCACCAGGGTCTCAATTCTGCTATTTTTAACCGACTTCAAAAAGGAGGAGGTTCTCAATTCGATTGGTATATTTTTTTTTATGTATGTACACCGATTACTCTGAGATTTATGATCCGATTTACGTGATTCTTCTTTAGTTGATGCGGAATAGTTGCCATTTGGTCCCATAAAAATTTAACATAGTTAGGCCCAGTAGTTTTCATTTTATGAACATTTTTAATGAATATTATTGTTTACTTGGATGATATAATTTTAGTTTGTGTACGGCCTTTTTAGGAGTTTACATTTAAGTTGATTATATATTATTCTATGAACATTTTTTTAGGAGTTTTCATTTAAGTTGATTATATATTATTTTATGAACATTTTTACTTAATGAATATTATTGTTTACTTGGATGATATAATTTTAGTTTGTGTACGGCCTTTTGTGTACGGACTTCAAACCTATCGATAGGTAGCACATACAAACAATAGTATTTTATTAATATTAAAGGTTTGCATAAGAGGTGTATTAAATTTAATCTTTATTAAGTTATTTTATACTTTTTAGTTTTTGAAGTCGGTTTTTTTAAACGTAGTTTTTTTTATATGTTAACGTCAAGCCATTCCATTGACACGCTATTGAGATGCCATAAACATCGGTCAAAATATCAGCATTCTACTAACATAAATTCACAGTGTCAATAGACAGTCGATATAGTAATATAGGTCATCAATGGTGATATCAACAACATTGCATTACCTTGAAAAGTAAATATTTCATTTTCTTACAAATTTAAAATGTACCTTTTACCAAACTATTACAACTATATCGACGACATTTGTATCAGTGGCAGTTCAGTGACAAGTCATCGGCAGGCCATTGATTTTACATAGATTCGTTCGTAGATTACGAAAAGGGCAAAACTATTCCGACAACATTCCATCGACAGTCCAATGATACAATATTAGAATAGCAGAATTGAGTCTCTGATGGTAAATGACTACCGACGCCCATGGGCACCTGCAACTCAGAAGTCACAAGAGCGTTATCATAATCAGGAGTTCCGGTAACCTCACTCACTCGATGAAAAGCATCGAAGGAATTGCTTAACATCAGCTTTCGGTGTAGTATTACTCCGGTTGAGTTGGTCAACCTGTGCCAAAGCATGGCTCTCCCACTTAATTGGAATGAACTAAATATTTCAAAAATCATAAGAATCAGACAGGTTAAATAATAAAACAGTTAGCAATTGAAAAGTGAAAAATCATAACTGTTTTGCCAATAAATCCTTATTAAAAAAAGTTAAACAGACTTAAAACCTAGCAGCAATCACGGTTGATTTGCTGGCACTTTTTTAAAGAGTCTGTCTCCGAAACTCGTCATCAGATCTATATGAAATTTAAATTGGACCATTTCGGAAGACCTATTTTATAGCGTTCCATGGATTCACGCGTGATACATGGGGGCAAGACATGCGACTTCGACAGTGCCTGGGACTTGCAACCCAGGTATAGGTTTAGGATCCATAACCGTTTTTGATCAAAAAAATAAATTTGCAAATCCGTATATATTTGACGGAGTATGTCCGAACATACATAAAAATATATATATACATTATAAACATCCCAATTGATAACCTCCTCCTTTACGAAGTCGGTTAAAAATGCGTTAAAACAAACAATACGGTCAAAATCGAGAACATTTTTTTAACTTGATAATGTAAGTGAAGATTGTTTGTGACAGTTGGTGATATGACGCAGTTACCGTTTTCCGCTGTTTCTTTTTTGATTTATCAGTTTGAATTTATAATTTACTTCGTGTTGCAGAATATCTTCAAAACAATCACAAACATTTACCTTGTATATGAAATGCAATGGATCCCTACCGCAATGTATAAGCTGGAGGTGGAGTTATACCTAGCTGACAATCATGATAGCTAGCTAGCAGGACTTAACATGGATTTCTAAATAGTTCGCGTGCAACATGAGGGAAACACAGCTAGTATGATAATATTTAAAGGCGTTCATGTGTTTCTACTTACCTGTCGGAAATAGAAATTTAGTAAAAAGCAAGTTGAAGAACTTTTAAATGAATGCATTTTCTGTCCATAGACCCTGAACTGCGAATCCGTGTTCGGCGTCTCTTCAAAGTATATTAATACTAGTTTACTACACAACCAGGATTGACTTACCTTCTCATCGTCGCTGGCGTCGCCGACATCGAGATGCTTAGCGTCGGCGCCGCCCGATCCATTTGTGTCGGGCGCGCCGGCCGCCGTGCTCCACGGAGACGCAATGGTGCCGGCTGCGAGCGCGCCGCTCGCTGCAAACAAAAACAAATGTCAAGTTTAAATCCTCCAATGTCCATCTATAGAAAAACCAAAACATAGAAATAGATTTTTATGATACGGTTTATTGGTAACTTTACAAGAAATAATACTAGTGTAATTTTTTTTCGGATAGTAATGAACAGAACAGTTTGCAGTAGTGTTAAAAAGACAGCTGGCAATTAGTTTAAGATAGATACATCGTTCATTACAACTGAAATACTCTCGCTATTATGCAGGAGATCCTTCTCATTGGATGTCACGTAGTCACGGTATCACAACAAAATATTGTACATATACTTAAGTAAATCGTATTACAGACTCTTAAGATTTTTTTATAAATAACGCAAGTACAAATATTCAAATAATGTACACTATTCACTAGTGAAAGATTTTGTCTTCAGTAATGAACATCTTTGCGTAGTTTATTTATGCTTTTAAAGAAAATGGGATCAGAGATCTCGGTTAAAGAAAGAATGTCACGCGACGGCTTCAAAACGCATTTCATAGCGTACTTTTGTTGTATTTCCGTTCTAGTGAAAGAATAAACCGTATATATATTTAGATGCTTTTTTACTTTCAGGAACTTTACTTTTATTTTTTACTAGCAGGAAGCTAGCGTACTTGTTCACTTTCTCAATTATTGGATCCGATTTTAAGTTCAGGTCTTCTCTATAAAAGTATGTATGCATCTTTAAGCTGTCATGAGTAAAAGCGTGCCAAACAACATTGCCAGTGTTTTCCAGTTGCACTTTAGGTGCATGCACATTTAACCAATCATTTTATTATACATCACATACATGTTGTGTAAATAGTTTAGTAGCGATACCTTTGTACGTTTATTCGAAGCTCTAATTGAATTATAAAGAAAATTAAAATCTTAGTTGTTAAATATAGAGTTAGCTGTAAAATAAAGTACACAGAAATGTTTGTCTCAAGAGAAGTATTACCAAAAAGTTTTTGAACATGCGATAATTGATTACATAATAGTTTACGATCCGTGGCACCGCGTAACTCGTGTGTAGATAATGTTCGAGTGTGTGACCGTGAATTCGTATGACGCACCTTCGACATGACTAATACTTGAGAAAAGTAATAATCGACTTTGGCTGCATTTCGTTATTATAATTTTATTTATTTATTTTATTTAAAAGTTTTTTTTTTTATAATATGTATCATAATAAAATTTATATGAATATTATAGATTTTAATAGTAGGTAAAGTTCGGACTTGGTCTTTAGTCAATACGCGTTACAAATACGCGACCTTGACCAGCTCGAGCAATTGCATACATTCCTCGATCCATCCTTCCCTTGCCTTCCCTTCCTATACTTTTCCTTATTTACCTCGATTATCTAATTCGTAAATGTCTGACGTGTGTGTTAACATTATAGCTGACAAAACGAGGACGTTTTATACGCCTCTTGTACGAGTATACCGCTTCGGGGATATAGACATGTGTAATTTTTAAAAACATTACATTAAATAACATTTTGTAATACGAGAAAATTTCGCGAAAGTCTGAATTAAGATGTAATTGTGGGCTAAAACATGTTTTTTTTTTATAAATATGCTATGTCAATATATAAGATTTTTTAACGCCATTTTAATATGATTAAAAACGGCTTTCTCCTACGAGAAGCCATTTGATTGGCGTTATAGTATGGACAATTTAAAATACCTGGACTAGAAGCTTTCCAGTAGCCACTTTCAGATAGACTAGCGACTTCTTATTACATTCTAGTCAAGACACTAACCTTTCTAAGGAGAGGCCTATGTTCAGCAGTGGACTATTACAGGCTGATGATGATGATGAAGACACTAATATGGGCTAAGAACTTGACAAAATAAATAAACCCAACCCAACTAAGAAAGACAGAAATATTTATACATAAGTACATAAGTTTTTTGCAAACAGTGTTTAATGTATAATCTTTGGCATCATTCAAACTAAACATTTTAACTCACTAGTGATCAAAGCCGTAATGAAGTCCATTTTCTTTTTTATTAAAAATGAATCGACTTGTATTATTGTATAGTTTACTACAGTTGAAATGCGCAAGCGTCGAGTGCGTCTGACGTCAGCACATGTTTGTTTACCATGACGGATGCGTATCTTGTAAACTTCCAATCGTATTGTGTGGTTATACACGATAATGCCTACATTGAGCTAACCGTTACTTGGACACTATTTTTAGACAATGTAAATCTTTAGCAGTTTTCTTACAGACTTGTAAGAAGAGTAAAATATATTTATACAAATATTGCTTAGAACATTTGCTTTAAAACTTTCTTGACTGTGAATTTTTATTCGGATGATCTAACCAGTACCTTATCGACATAACACCTATTCTAACATGAATATTTTACTTCTTTATAAATAGTAAAACTTGGGCGTATAATACACTTCTGTCTACCCCCTTCGGGGAGACACAGACGTTAGTGTATGAAAGAAAAAGGATTTTTGCAGATTCTCATATCTTAAAGACTGTATTTTCAAATTGAATATAAGACTGAAAAACGACAGTAAATACGAAGCTACGAGTTTCAATTTTCATAATATCAAATAAAATAATCACTGTTCCCTCAAGATTGAAGAGGCGAGCTCGTAGGCATTCCGGAAATTTTCATATTTACTGTTACAAATATGCAGGTACGAAATGTTCATAATATAAATATAATATCAAAACGGAGAATTTCTTTATGAAGATCGGATCGAGAGAGTAAAGTATGCGCCCGCCCGCTATCGCGACGACTTGATACTTTATAAATCCCATCTTTAGCTACCTACATTTCTTGTACTTATTTTAACTATGTTCTTTTATATTCATATTTTGTACTCGTAGTATGTACTTTGTCTTACAAGTAAAATAAGCTCTATTACTATCTATTTATTCAAACTAGCATGATCGAGAAGAGTAATAAGGCATCTATTGAAGGAGAGAAGATAATTGAGATGGTTTGCCTCTGCTCACACACAAAGATATGGGTGTTAGCGGCTATTTAAAATGCTGAATTATTCATAATGTTTTCAATTTAATGTGGCTTTAATTTCGTTTAATTTATATTTAAGATTGTTGATAAAAACAACAAAATTTTGAATATCATTCTTAACTCTAATAACAAATATTATCTCCGTTTGAATTATTTGTTTTTCAATACAATATTTATTTCAAATATTGGTTTGTAGAATTTAGAAATTTATCCAAATTTTATACCACTCTATGAATTAAATATACATCTAGGGTTGCGATTAAAAAATCTGACATGTAATAACGAATTAATATTCAATTAAAAGTTTAATGGACGCAATAACTGCTAATACTGTTATTTTATTACGCAGTAGCTTTTGGACGAGTCTCCGCCCGCGTGTATGTCGGTTATCGCGGTATGTAGCCTACTAGTTGACCCGGCAAACGTTGTATTGCAAAACAAAAAAAAAATTAGGGATGGGTCACCCTTACCATTTAGAGGTATGAAAAATAGATGTTGGCCGATTCTCAGACCTACCCGATGTGCACACAAAATTTCACGAGAATCGGTCAAGCCGTTTCGGAGGAGTACGGGAACGAACATTGTGACACGAGAATTTTATATATAAGATGTTAGTTGTCGATAATGTAGCTTTCTATTGGTGAAATAATTTTCATTAAAATCGGTTTATTGGTTTAGACTTCAAAGCGTAACAAACAAACTCACTTTTATATTATATTTTTATATTTATATAAAGTCCTTGTAAAATGGAGTATCTAATCTTACAAAAAAGTAGCATATACTAACGAAAGTTTTGAACACTTTAGAAACCGTTGATATCAAAGTATGTAGAACAGGCAGTCGTGCCATGTAGAGCAGGTAAAAAATATTTATTAATCTTTCAAATATATTTTAACCGCAATCATCACGACTAATTAAATAATTCCGCGTGCAGAAACGAGATTACTAAATAACAATGTTTGAGGCACGAACAAAAACTGCAACTTAGTGTATTGTAATGTCAATACATACGTCCCACATTAACGCAACGAATCGCATTGTTTCCAACGTGCTTATTGAGAAACATCTTTATTAATATGTGAAATTGTAGTCTTTTTTCTGGTTCATTTCTTTATGCACGTATGACCTTATTTCTATACTTTATTTTATAATTGTTATAGTATTTGGATTATAAACTTTATATTTTTAAGTATTCGTTTAAACGATAAACCTCTAGTAATACGCTTTCGTGATATACTGTCGTTAAATCGGTTTTAATTAAACAGACGGTTTTTCCATATACTCGTACTTAAACAGTTCCGATTAACAGTTTTGATTACTGAAATATCATATACTAGAAGAGCAATAATACAAGGTCATTTTAGTGTATCTGGCGAACAGGGGAGGTATAGACTCTCTCCCTACAAGAGCGGCTTGGAATGTTGGCAAATTCTCTACGTTAATGTTACCAAATATGACATTAAACAAGACAGTCCTAATTTATTTTGTGGTCAGTTTCCTTTCGTACATACGTACATTAAACATCATATACGCTTTTGTACATAAAGGTGAAAATATTTCAGGTAATTAAATAAAAATCCGCTCTAATTTTTAACCTACTGAAATCAATAGGGGTTGAACTTAATAAATATAGCAACACGGATACCCATTTATTACTTAACAGTCAATAAAGCTAAATACGGAGACAGTAGTTAGTATCAAGGATTTTCAATTAGGATAGTTATTTTACATTTAGCGGTGACTAATTCAAGTAGTCTCGGCACTGGCTGACAAAGGGCGCACATACGCAGCGGGAACGTGCAATAATTAAAATAATAAAGCATCGTTCCGAGCCCGCGCTCATTGTGCTGATATGACAAGTGTACGCAATGAGTGGGACCCTCTGCGAGCTACTGGGGTCGACTGTTGATCATATAAAATCGGGACCTATCTATTCCACGCATGTGTACGCGATTTGTCTTTGATGCTGTATTTACGTTTTGTGCGGTTTCCTTTTTATTACATGTTTTTCTTTGTTTGTTGATTCTACTGTAATGAAGTACTTTGTATTATTATTTTGATATCTGAGTCTGTTCCGTTGCACTTTTCTTCTTGGATCAGTTTGTAAATATTGTAATTTGGTAACTGGAAATGAGTTTTAATGACCTCACACATCACAGACACGCTGTCTGATTCCAAAAACCTGTACTATGGTAACCAGACCGCTGATAAACATACTTATATATTTCTAAATACATACATATTATAGATAATTACACCCAGACACAGAACAAACGATTGTGCTCATCACACAAATATTTTTCCTGGGTGGGAAACGAAACCACGACCTCCGGTTTAGCAGTCAGGGTCACCAACCACTTGATCAACAGGCCCGTCAAAATTTTATCTTGGCATATTCATTTTCGAAAATGGATTGCTGAGATATGCTCAAATTTAAATCGCTAAACTTCTAGTTATAACAAAAGATCAAATGCCATAAAAGTAAATTCACAAGTAAATTGAACGGTTTTGAGGAAGAACTTCCTATGTAATATCAGCTATAATCACGATAACTGCCGATATTTACAGCACAGGAATTTTACTTTCAATCATAACATTTTCTCTGATGTTATGTTTTGATTGAAAAACTAACTATAAACAAACACTGCCCAAATAAAAGGTACCTATAAGATTTGTGATTTTATTTTGTTGACGGGTTGGAAAATCCCTTCGGATCTACTCTGCGTCCTGATTGCGTCTTAACACAATTAGACTGCCATTCTAGCCCCAGTCGTATATACCTAAATGTACGTAATAAATATTAACGCAGGAGATCAAGAATAGAACTGGACTAAACTCCAGAACATTACAACATTCGTGTGGGCATCACAAAAGGTACTGTATTTATAGACAATACCCATAAAGTGCGCCAAACCAGGACGGAATATTAGTCACTTAGAGGTAAAAGACAAAACTGTTGGGTCCCCAAGCATAATAGTTACGCGGGCAGAAGCCTTTGTGTCGCAGATGTTTATACATAGTTTTATCAACCTGTCCTCGAGTGTATTTATGACGTGTGAATATATGACGATAGTTTCCGACATTTTATACGTCTCAAACTTAGTCTACTGCTGTTGTACGTGATTAAGTTGCAAACGATTCCTGTATTCTGGAATAATAGTTTAAAATAACTTCACGTTTTGCTAAAACAAATACATATATCTTTTTAAGCAGAAAAAAGAATCAGAAATTATAGCACCATATACACAATCAGAAATAGTTACTTTAAAGAAGTTCTCATTCACTCACATCAATATCACCAAAGTGTGTCGTATATGGCGTACCTCTGCATTAGACACCTAGGTACTTTAAAAAATTCTAGAGCAATGGAATCATGAACTGGTGAACTAGCGGTATCAGGTAATTATCTACTAGTATATATTATGTCACTATATTCTCCATTGTTTTGATGTTATCAGCAGTATTCTCTTTATTGCATACTTTTGTTATGCACACATAAGTATGTAATATACAACGAAAGTACGAGTACTAAATAGTTATGTTTATAGACTTTCAAAGTGGTTTTTGACTAGCTTTTTAACAAGTTATTAAATGGGGGCACTATTTATTTTTTTTATTTATGAAAGTAGGTCACAATGATCGTACTGACTATCAATTTCACATTCATGTGAAAAGTTTTGTTTTTTTTTGTGACCTGACATAGGATGAATTCCAATAAGTGGAAAATGGTTTTGTATTGAATGCCGTTACTAAGATGGTGACCTATTCAGGCCCGCTACTAAAAACTCTTTCAACTTTTACGTATCATTATTTAAAGTTTTTTATGTATATGTATTCCTGTACTATTGCTGGTTATATACATTTATACGTCTCGATTTATTGTGTAGATACATATTATATATGTTATGTACGCGTTGCACGCGATACCTAAAAGGAGAATGCATTTTACATCAACAACGGAACAATTCCGGTAATTTAAGGGTATAGCCTATTCATATCGCG